GTGAGTCTGGCATCGTGGAGTGCTTCTCAGTCCGATCTGGAGGACGCCACCATTGAACAGGTTATTTTACTCCTTAAGCACCTTCGTTGCTTTTTGTTTCTTGTTTTGTTGTTTTTTTTTTAAGTGGGGTTCATCTTTTTTACAAGCAAGTGAACAGAAGAAATCTGACATCTCCTCTCAATAAAATAGGCTGATCTACTGAAGTTTAAATCAGGACTTTATCATCCAAACCCCACTTAAGAAGGTGTAGCACAGATGGCAGGACCTCATTTGTAACTGGGTTATTTTACATCCTATTGTTATTTCTGGCTTGGGCAGATGCTACCTTGGTAGTGTTATATCCAACGGCACAACCTCACTCGAAGCTGAAGCCAACGCTAGCAAGCGGTAAAAAATAGATGAGGAAGTAAAATGGTAATAAACCCTTTAGTGAGGAACAACACAAATCTGAAGGTCTGTTATGCAGGTGAGATACTGATAGGAGCCAGCATGTTTATAAGGACTTTTTTTTTTTGTAACACCTGCCATGCCCTTTCTGTGCTTAGTTTCTGGCCCATGAGGAGAAGCGGGTTATATCTCCCAGATACACTCCTCACTTCAATGTTCCTCTGCCCTGCAGGAAAACGCCCCACTACATAAATGCTGTATTTCACACAATGAGGTTACACGATTGTTTATTCAGAATTTGTGATTTGCGACCCACCGTCTTAGAAACATGAGACCAATCCTTCAATTAATAACCTCGGGCGGAATGAGAATGGAAAAACCCCAAATAGCAAATGAAAAGGGACGAAAGGCCCTCTCTGTATTTTCTCATGAGTATGTGACAGATATGGAGAAATTTCCTGATTACCCAATAACGAACATTTGAGCTTCAAGACTGTTTTCTACTATGCATGCTTTGCCTTTGAAATTCTGAGCTGTTTTTTTCTCTGTCAAATCTATTGAAGCAACAGATCTCCAATAAAAAAGTGAGTTTTGTTTCTTTAGAATACAATTTTCTACCAGCACTGTGTGCCTGCGCACACATGCACACACACACACACACACACACACACACACACACACACACACACCAAAAATGTCTGAGGCCCCTCATGCAGCCTTAGGTACAAATATTTCCCACTCGGACTTTTGGAAAAGTCAAGTCACGGGGACTACTGGTCAAGAGTGGGTCTTTTAAAACACTATGATAACCATGGGGAGAAATTCTCAACACTGACTTTAAATGTCTATTTTTTTTTTTTTTTAAGTGAAAAATCCAAATCACTATGCTGGCAACTCCAAACCTACCTCACACCTTTATTCAGAGCCGTTTCACGAGACTTGGGTTGCAACAGAACATAACATTTTAAAGTTGAAACAATGTCGATGCCGTAACAGGGGAAATGCGATAAAAGAATGAAAATAATCATCATTCTAATAAGAGCATTTTGATAGCCTAATATCAGAGTCTCTTTTTCTTCACCCTGACAGCTCGCTGGAGAACCACGAATGCCCCTTTAGTCAATGCATGTTCTGAGTGAAATGTGGTAAAAACCCACATGGAGAGCGTTTCTACCTTGATCTCACCCCTTAAAAGCTTGCCTTCCTAGTGCTATTCCAGAACACTGTAACACCCAGGATCAGTAACTCACTTAGTCTAGAAAACTACCGAAGTCAGGCAGGTTTAAAAGCACTTCTTCAATAGTTAAATTCGCTGCATGGTCTACTCACCTCAACCAACCTCAGCAACAAGGGAATAAATAGCTTTCCGCTTATGTTGCAGCTGAGGGAAGAGGTACAGCAGCAAATACAACTCTCCCTAAATAAAGGCAAATATTTCTGTCATGCCAAGGAAGGAGGGATAGAGGGAGGCTTGCCAGAGTCGGCTGGGAGATAACAGTGGGAACTGCAGGTCCATCTGGTTTTCATTCTGCGAACACTCACACTGAACTGTTAGAGAAGGCAGTCCAGATACACAGACTTGAAGCACGTGGTTGTGCAGACAGAGGGAGGAAGAGTGGGAGGGGGCGGGGGGGGGGGTGGGAATCGTGAAAAAATAAATAAGTAAAGCAAGGGAAGGAAAAACGCAGCAAGGGAGAAAAGAGCCCAAATGAAGAGAAAGTTACCCCAGGCGGCTTCGTCCACCCGGACACGCTGAGCCTTAGTGGGCATGGCCCCTGCACCTTACTTACCTGGAGGTACTTCTTGAGCAGAACCTAAACTGGAAAACACATCTGAAACCCGCGTCTGTCTACCCTTGTTGCTGACACTGAGAGAAAAGGAAATAGACGATAAAATCGACAATGGGTGTCCTCTTCAAACTTAAGAGGATCTTAATAATAGTAACAACAGCAACAACAACAACAACGACGACGATAAAAGGTAGAGGAGTGATTTTTTTAAATCCTCGAAACGGCATGGATACTTTAAGAACAAGAACCACTGAGCCAAAGCATTGCAAAAACACCACTGCTTCTAAACAGGACTATATGCATTCTGGCCGGAATAGCCAAATTTCGGCGACAGTTAGCTCCACTCTGATCAAATGGAGTTCCAACCCAGAGGTCCTACAAACTTAGACAAAGTGGGACCATATGTAACTCATTCCGTGCTGTTCAGTGCAATCAATCCAGGACGAGGAGAGATGGTGAAGTTACCAGCCAGGACTAACCCGGACACACACACAAACCCTCTGGAGTAGAGAGATTTAAGATAAATTCAGAAAATGTGTTTCAAGTATGCTGAGTCCTGTTGCATTTGTTTTGGATTACTTAAAAAAAAAAAAAAAAAAAAAAAGCAAAACATTTTGAAATATATATTCTTGAAACTTTTATAGCAAACAGCAAAAGAACTATGATTCAACCACAGAAGTATTTCTTCTCCGTTTCAAATTAGAGGATACAGTAAAACCAATATTAAGTTATAATATTTCTTATGCAATTTTTTTAAGTTTATGAAAATTATTCCTAGATGTAATTTCTATTTTTAGTTGCTGCAGGGGAATGCTGACATCAGTTGAAAGACTGGCACAAAATGATAAAAAAAGAAAAAGAAAAAGAAAAACAATCTATCAGAGCAGGAAGGTATGTATAATCAAAAGGACTGACTTGCCTCTACCTTAATGATACACACTACTACTAAATAAAGATCTCCCCTATGTGGTAACATTTCAACTCACATGGCAAATATCCAACACATATGTACCAAAGATGGCTGAAACATGGATGAAAATGTGGCATATATAAATACATTACTGATACCATTTCAATATCCAATTCAGTGTCAGAGGCTTCTAGAAGGGGTATGTTTTCCATTTCCTTCTTTTTCTTTTTTTTTTTTTTAAGTAAAAAGGAAAGGTATGGCATAATCTGCCGTTACACTTACTTTACTTTTTGTTAGTTCAAACAGTTCCAGATGTGTTTTTAAGGTATGGAGAATAGGCATTCTGTATTTTCCTTATTTACATACTATTTCTAGAGATCATTACTGTAAATAGAAAGTTCAGGATTGGTAGACGGGACGTCTTTTTCTATCAGAGTTCATCATGTCAATTATAATAGAAGAAATATCTTGTAATAGAAGAAATACCTACATCCCAGATGTGACAGATCGAGAAACCTCTCGGTGAATTAGCAGTTGGTACAGTTGGTCTAATTTGAGTAAGTGCTAGCTATAGGAGCTACAAGATACACAATAAAGAGGAGTAAGCCCAAGTGGAACTGAAGTACTCCTACCAGAAAGGAGAAAGCAGCTAAGGAAACACAAAAGTGGGTACAGACTTTGATTTTTATTTCTATGGAAAATATGGCAAATTCAGGCCTGACAACAGAATCATTTAGTGAGTCCAGTGGCTGGGTGTGAGATGTTAAAGGAAACTGCCTGCAGACTAGAATGGTGGCCACCCAGCCTCCACAATGCTGCCATCTCATTTCCCTGCTGAGCACTTCTGGAATGTTCATTCCTGCTCAGGAGAATAAAAGTCAAATGCTAATATTCTAAGCACAATGGAATGATACAGTGGAAGGCTATTTGGAATAACAGACAAATTTCCAAGTTAAGACAGACTTGGTTTTGAATGTAAACTCAGCCATCAGTAGTGGGTCCTCAGGCAAGTTATGTTGATCCTGAGTTCCTCATAAGAAGAATACTGATATACACCCCTCTCTGCCTCATTAAGACCCTGGCATAGTACGTACTCAAGTCAGGCACCAGCACATGTGATCTCCATTCTCTTGTGCCTGCCTCTCCATCATCCATTCATGGCTTTATTTCCAATGTCCTTCCCCCGGGTCTATGCTCTATCTGTACAGGGCACCTTGGCATTCCCTGGCTTTTCTGCCTTTCATTTTATACTGTTTATTTCCTTCATCTAGAAAGATCTGCCCCACCTATCCCATTCTTCACTGCCCATTACAGATCCTCTTATAGCTTTCCCCAGGTACCCAAGGCACCAACCGCATCATGCTTGTTTGGCCTTTTAGCATTTACCACAGCCTATGAGTACAACAGTGTGTGTGTGTGTGTGTGTGTGTGTGTGTGTGTGTGTGTGCGCGCATGTGTGTGTGTGTTTACACCCAATCTCTCCAACCACAGCCTATGAGTACAATAGTTGTGTGTGTGTGTGTGTGTGTTATATATCCAATCACTCCAACCAATGAAAACAGTAAGCAATTTGATGGCAGTTTTTTTAAATGCCTAATTTAAAAGACAAATACATAACCATCAACAGCATATAAATACATGATTAGGAAGTGGAATGCAGGTAATATGGGAACATGCTGGAGTTCTGAAATTTACTTCAACTCTGTGATCAACTTATGTCGTTTTAGGCAAGTGTAAGAATGATCTGTTACTTCATCACAGGTGTTTTATGAAGATTTTTTTTTTCTGAAACACAAATATGATCTTGTCTATTCCATGCTTTAAAACCTTTGGGAAGGTCCACTCCCCCTCTCTCTGCCCCTTCCCGGTTCACGCTGGGTCCCTCTGTCTCTCAGTAATAAATAAACGTTAAAAAAAATTTTTTTTAAATGCAAAGGGCGTGGCTGGGT